ACTCTTCACTCGATAGAACACTTAGTAATAATAATAAAACGTCTTTATTAGGCGTAGTTTAGCATAAGCTATTCTGCACCTTAACCCGTAAAATCTCAATAAACAAAATTAACAATAAAAACAATATATACCACTAAAGCTGCAGAGATTACAACATCCAAACGGATTATTTGCTAAAATAAATCACTGAATTGGATAAGGAGGAAGAAGCACAACATGATACATAGTTATAGAGTGATGTTCGTGCAAAACAGGTGTACAATAATTACACATATTATGAACATACCTATATACATACGTATACACACGTACGTGCGTAAGCAAGAAGTGAGAGATAAATTTATAAAATGAGTTTTTCTAAATACTTTTTGAGATCTTCAATGTTTGAAGCTTTAGTATTAGAGCTTAAAGCATTGTACATGATAGTAGCATTATAAGTAAAATATTTGGTAAGAAATGAAGTTCTGTGGGGAGGTATTGCTACAGTATAAGTAAAGCGAATATCTCGTGAGTGTATAGAACCACAAAATGTTATCTTTCAAAAATGGGGAAATTGAGGTAAGTAAAAGCTTATGGATATAACATAGCAAATGAAATTCTTATTGATTAGGGATAGTTAACCATTCCAATTTATGGACGAGGAGGTAAGGTGATTATACTTTTTTCAAGTTACAGATTAATCTGCAACACGAATTTTGAATTTTTTCCCAAGTGCTTGACGGATACTTAATCTAAATACGAATGATAAACAATGTCTCACAGAGAATTTTTCAGGTATTGTAATCAGGCATTTTTTGTTCAAGTATAATTGCCTGATCACTGAAAAACACCTTTTTGTAACATTGTTCACTTGAAGAATGAAATTTAGGCATTCATCAGGAGATATGCCTTCCGCGACGGCTTCAATGCCTGGAAATCGCGCTGGCAGCGCTGCATCAACGCAGAAGGAGCCTATTTTGAAAGTTTTTAAAGAATTGTAACTATTGGCTCAATAAATTTTTTTAAATCGACTTTTTCCTATTACTTTCCCGACAAACCCTGTATATCATAGGCCGGGTACCAGATCATCGAACAGTATTCTAAAATAGATCTGACAAAAGCATTAAAAAGTAAAATTAATGTATTAGTATTATTGAAATGTCTTCTGGTTCTTATAACAAAACCAAGATTTTAAAAGCTTCTGCTATTATTGCGTTAATGTGATCAATAAAAGAAAGCTTTAAATCGAATAATACGCCCAAATCCTTGACGATATTAACACGACAAAGAACATTGCTACCGATTTCAAAATTAAAACATGTCGCTTCCACCCGGCGTGTAAACGTCATAGTAGTACATTTATTGACATTCAAGTGCATGTTATTTACTTTACACCAGTGATCAAAATGACATTCAAATCAACCTGTAACCTTGAACTGTCTTCTCAGCAACACACGCTATTAAAAATTTTGAGGTCATCGGTAGGTATATGTTCGACAGCAAATGTGGTTTCAGCATGATGAAGCGCCGGCTCACTTTGCTGTACAAGAATTGGCTCAGCAGTTTAGGCACCTTTGGATTGCCAGAGGTGGAACAGTCTCTTAGCCTCCTAGGTCACCCGATTTAACGTCGCTAGATTTTTTCCTGTGGGGGCATGTAAAGTCTTTGGTTTACGACACTCCAGTAGAAACAGAGCAAGACTTAATTGGACAAATTACAGCAGGATTTGAAATCATTCTAAACGAGTATCAAATCTTTAGTCAAGTCCGCCGAAATCATGTGCGACGTTTAAATAAGTGTATTCAGGTTGGAGGAAGACATTTTGAACAATTATTGTGATGATATCATGTACGAAAGGAAAAAAATAAATGCATTAAATCCTGATTGGCAATTCATCGTCTTTCTAAATTTTAGCGCGACTTAGTGCTATAGTGCTGTAGTGACACTTTTCCGGATATGGGTCCATATACTCAAATGTTTTCTACTGTTACACTGAATAACCCCTAGAAGTTTGGTCCCTTAGTTCTGAAACACCCATAGAAATCCCCAGATTCGGTCCTGTCTAAAACCAACCGAACGAATTTCTGAAGGCAGGAGCATTTCGGGTTGTTTATTAGCCTTCATCCGGGAAGCTTTTGAATAAAGTAGGAAAACTTTCAAGTCGCGGAGTAGAAGAGGAAGGAAATACCCGATGAGATGGAATTTAAGCTCCAATGAAGGAACATTTCATTCGATGCATTTTCACCCATCGTTGATTATTTTATTCTCCTGAAATGGTGGAAAATTTAAAAGTCAAGAGTACTGAATCGGTATTTGCCCAGATCGAGATAGACGCAGACATCTAAAATTCCGATTTGAAGCATCCTGGTAAGGGTTACACCGGCAAAATGAACTTCCGAGGCAAAACATAATTAACCAACAATCAGTTGTAAGAAAATCAACATACTTATTGAGCCACCAAAGAGAAAAAATTGTTTTTTTCAACAAAGAAATTGATTTTTTATGATTGCTATTGTGCTTATAATATAATAATATATTATAAAATAGTTTTGGTGAAAAACATGCAAACTCTTAAATAAGTATCTTTGGGCAAAGAGGAGACAGCATAATGGATATTGTATGCGCCCGTAGCTTTATTTCCGTTGCTAGTGAATTTAAAATTGGTCTTTTAAGTTTTGCATATACAAACATGGTAGGCCGCGCGGATCGAACATCGGTACTGAATCTTAACCTCACTCTTTAGTAAACTTAAATTCACAGTTTCACAACAATACGTGCAGTGTTCTCTCTACAGTGAATTTTTAAGTGTCACCAAGTCATCAGAAAAATGGAACTCAACCGAGAACATTTTTGCGCATAATTTATTACAACTTTCAGAGACAATTATCGCAACAAGAATGCCGTGCTGAGATACTGTCTGTTTCGGCAACGAAGTGCCACATCAGTCGACAATTTCCCGTTGGTATGGAGAATTCAAACGTGGACGGGTGAGTCTTAGCGACGATTCCAGGGCGGGAGCACCAAAAGCGGTAGTCACCCAGGAAAACGTCAATGCTGTGCGCAAACTCATCATTGAAGACATACATGTGTCATATCGCGAGATTGAGGCGTCCTTGAAGATCTCAAAGACCTTAATCCAAAAAAATTACATGAAGAATTAGGAGTAAGAAAATTAGTTTCTCGTTGGATACCCCACCTATTGACTGAAGAGCAGAAAGCAAACGGTGTCAAAAAACGCTTGACCGTTTCAATTCCGGAAACTCAGAAAATGTGATCAGCAGTAGTGTTGATGAAACTTTACTGTTGTGAACCAGAAAATTAACGATAGTCGGCTGTTTGGGTGTTCCAAGGTGAAGGAAAGCCAACAAAAGTCATCCATTCTCGAAGTGTCTCGAAAAAGATGGTCGCGACATTTGTGTCAAAAGCTGGTCATATTGCAACAATTCCTCTTAATGAGCAAAGAACTGTTACTGCGGATTAGTATACCACCATTTGTTTGCCAAAAGGCATCACCGAGCTTCGAAAAATCAACCCCGAAAGAAGAATCATCCTCCAACAAGACAATGCAAGCTCGCATACAGCCCAAAAAACAAGGCAGTATTTAACGGAAGAAAACGTGGAATTATTGGACCATCCTCCATATAGTCCCGATCTAAGCCCTAACGATTTCTTTACTTTCCCGAAAATTAAAATCAGACTGCGTGGTCAAAGGTTCCAGTCAATAGAAGAAGCAGTTGACGCATTCAAAAATGCCGTGGAATATGTGCTTCGAAAATTGGTTCGAGCGCATGCAGATGTGTATTAGTATTCGTGGAGAATACTTCGAAAAACAATAAAGTCATTTAAAACTGCCTACCGGGTTGTTTTATTTCCATATGCAAAACTTAAAAGACATCCCTCGTATTTTGGTGCAGATTATATATAAATATGAAAAGAAAAACAAATCCAGGATCGGTAAACCTTAAATGTGCAGTATCGGTGGTGTAATAATCTTCAAAATTTGGGATCGTTCATAGTTGCTCTGTTCAATATAAATCGTAACTTTCTATAAAATTAGATTCCTGACCATTTGTGTTATGTGTTTACTTCACCCCGAAGTCCAGGCAAAGAAAATAATTTGCATATCTTTGTCATTTGTGATCTACGTTGTTTATAGCTACAACTAAGAATTATTGATTAATTTTTCTAACAGCAATCAAAGATAGTAGCAGAAAGCTTTGAACTTTGGCCACCTCTCCCCATATATGAATTCATACGTTCGAGATATTAAGCATTTTTCAATAAAAGATTCAAGTTGTGTTACTTTCTTTTGCATAAGATCAAACAACAGATCGCTAGTGTCCTAGGAACAGCCGTCATTTAGCCATCATGATTTTCTTGCCTACAAGGAATCACAGTGGATAACTATGCCTCAATCTCTACTATTTCTTCTTATCCATAAAACAATGTAATTGATCCTTTCTCTATTGATTTTACCTGACAGACGGTACTTCAAAAAATATTTCGAGGGGCAGGTACTTGAATTCTCGTCTCTAGCCGCGGTTCAAGCATGTTTATAGAAACTTTTATCCATGAAAATATAGGAACGGCTTTTTGCTTTCAAGCGACAATTCAAGGAGCAAGTTAAACCATGCGGCCTAAGCGGGCAGGTGTCCCATTCTGTGCTATGCACGCCAAGTGATATCTGCTGTATTTTTTTGCAAAAACAGACATAATTCGTTCGACCTGACAATTTTTGAAATCTTTAACGCGCAAGAAACCTTTTCGTAGCTTTGATTACGATCGGAAAAATGTATAATGTATATTTAACAGAAGGACCAATCACCGTTAATACAAATAACAATTGCAGTCAAAGGGCCATTACAGGATGTCAATTTCGTTATATTTTTGACGATGATCCAAATTTTTTCTCATAATCCCAATCACTGCACCACACTCTGTATATTATATGCTGTCTTATTGTATTTTTCAATAGATCACTAAGGAGGCAGTGTAAATGATATAAAAATTTTTCAACTTACCTGACGTACTCATGTTGTGAATTCAAGGATTCCCACGACATAATAATTGGCCCTTGCTAAACCAACCAACCACAAGTCCTGCCGCTCACCCTGCTACCCCCGATACAGCAAAAAATAAAAAACCACCACCGCGGCATTTTTTATACACTAGCACCCCACTTCTCCTTCAGATCGCGAATTTTTAGCACCATCTTATTTCTGTCATTGATTGTTTCAAAAAATAACGGAAGATTAGGAAAAAGGCAACTGAAATTGATGTAAAGACATCCCTTAAAAATAACACACCCCTTTCGCTATAGCATCCAGCCTCCCCTAACAGTATCGCTGGACCAGTTCGGACAGCGTTGCCGGATGTACTTGCCGGGAAATCTCCATTTCCCTTCTCTTCTGTGGCTACTTGCGAACGAAACTCTATAAGCTTAGTACTGCGGTTCTGTAAACAAATAGAAATAGACATTTGCATGCCTCTCAGAGGGGAGGGGCGTTTTGTTACTTCAGGAATTGAAACACACTGGTCTAGCCCAAAATGTATATGTACGAGGCTTAGAGTAAAAGGACCTGTGGTACAAAAATTTAAAGGAACGCTACCCACCATGACGAAATGCTGCAAGCATTACGGTAGTGAGATAATAATAATAATAATAATAATAATAATAATAATAATAATTTTTCAGGGTGATTCTCTCTCTCCATTACTATTTTGTTTGTGTTTGGCACCCTTATCTAGCATAATCAGTAAGTAAGGAGTAGGTTACGAGATCACCGAAAGCAACAAAATTAGTCACCAGAAAATAAACGACAGACGGCTGTTTGGGTGTTCCAAGGTGAAGAAAAGCCAACAAAAGTCATCCGTTCTCGAAGTGTTTCGAAAAAGATGGTCGCAACATTGGTGTCAAAAGCGGGTTAAATTGCAACAATTCTTCTTAATGAGCAAAGAACTGTTACTGCGGATTGGTATACCACCATTTGTTTGCCAAAAGTCATCACCGAGCTTCGAAAAATCAACCCCACCAAGACAATGCAAGCTCGCACACAGCCCGAAAAACAAGGCAGTACTTAACGAAAGAAAACGTGGAATTATTGGAGCATCCTCCATATAGTCCCGATCTAAGTCCTAACGATATCTTTACTTTCCCGAAAATTAAAAACAGACAGCGTGGTCAAAGGTTCCAGTCACCAGAAGAATCAGTTGACGCATTCAAAAATGCCGTTTTGGATCTGCCAGCAAACGAGTGGCATATGTGCTTCGAAAATTGGTTCGAGCGCATGCTGATGTGTATTAATCTTCGTGAAGAATACTTCGAAAAACAATGAAGTCATTTAAAACTACCTACCGTGTTGTTTTATTTCCATATGCAAAACTTAAAAGACATCCCTCGTAGTAAATATCAAAACAATATGTTATCCCGTTCAGTAGTCTTCCGATTAATATACAGCCCACCCCACCTATAACCGTTGATTTTTTATTTCAAGGTTTGAGCCACATAGTTTGAGCTCAAGTCAGCCAGATACTCACCAATGAAGTCGTCATCATCCTTGTGGTATATTAGTGTTTTCATGAATTTGTGATATAATTATATCATCCACATCATAAGAGCTAAATAAATACTCTCTGTATCATCAATGATAAAATGCATAAATTCCCAATTTCTAAGCCTTCCGGACATGCACGCCGATTAGGGGAGGCAATGGGGGCATTCGCCCCCTAGGCTTGAGGAGTAAAATGTTCTTAATGGAGTACCCGTTGCTTGGACCAGCGGGTCTTTTGCTCCTTAAAACAGCCCTACATAGAAATAGTTTTTATCTCACCGTTTTAAACAGCCACCAATCCTGCTTCAAACAGGTTGACTAGGCCTGCAAGCCTAACCTGAAGCCTCTGAATTTTGTTGTGTGGGAGCCCATGTACGTAGCCAAGGAGGGTAGAAAGGGTGATTCTCTCCCCCTCCCGTATTTTGATTTGGTTTATGTACGTTACAGATTCATTTGTACTTGCTAACGACTCTTTCATTTATAAAAGCTAATTTACATACAAAAAAAAACGCTACAACCAAGTTCGATTCATGATTGTCAATGTTACAGACTAATACAAAGATCTCACTTGCTGGTCATCTGTTCATCTCAGTAGACGTCAAAACATGATGGATGGCTTACGTTCCTCCGATATAACTAAGTAAATCGTTTGAGTGAACAGTTAAAAGTTCCAGATTCCAATATCACATAACTCAGGCATTATTTAATCGATTTCAATAAAATTTTGCACATTAACAAAGTCATCTAGAAGTAACGTGAAACTAGCCAAACGGTTAAAAAAAATCCAGTGCCAGATTCGATTGTTTTTTGCCGGTGTGTTAGCTTCTTTTGGTCCAATACAATTTTATACAAGATTCATAACATCTGTGCTTTGTTTGCAAAATATTATATGACGGAATATAAATAATACTGCATTGTTATTACATAGTACTGATTACGTCCTGGGCTAAGCACTTATAGCAAAACATGTTAAGAAAATACTATGAAGGAAAATTTAGTTATCTCTTGATAGAGTGTTTTCTAACAACATTTTGTGATGAATGCGCTACCCTCTCTCCATGTATCTGGACCGCTTGGATCGCTTCAAAACAAAGTTGCATCAGCATCACCTGGAAAATCAGTGATGGGCGTTTATGCGTATACATTAGTTGTTTACGACTCGATGTATTCAATGCGTATACAATGTATACAATGCATACATTGCGTATACAATGAATATAATGTATGCAATGATGAAGACAATAGCATAAGTGAGGTTAGGTTCATTAGCAAACGTCAGAAAATTGGTGAACAGTGAACCGGCAACTTTAGAAAATATGGTTGGATGCCCCAACAAAAAGAAATCGATGGACTAGGGTTCACTTTGTTTGAAAATGGAAACACGTATTCCGTAGAGTGTAGTGTCTACAAAAAAAAGGTGTCCAATACTCGATTGAAATCACACAAGTATTTTGTTATATTTGACTTAAGAAATGTTCCTAATTTATTTAAAACTATCTTTGTATACGTATTACAATATGTTTTATATTATATTCTCATTATACATTAACTGCTTCCCCAGTCAAACCAATAGTGCAATGTTGCAGAATTTGTAGCGATCTTGAACTTTCTGTTCCACCTAAATGATTAGGATCGATCCGGAGTTGATCTTAAAAAGATTCGACAGAAATGTGTATTTGGGCGTAGAAAATAGGCATTCCTCGTACACGTGAAAGTCTAAAAGGTAAAGGGGCTTCCGCCAGCACTGTATGCAAGTTGTTGAACTATGATTTGCTATTGTATACATTGTATACGTATATCGACACGTATATACGAGGGATGTCTTTTAAGTTTTCCTTATGGAAATAAAACAACACGGTAGGTAGTTTTAAATGACTTTATTGCTTTTCGAAGTATTCTCCACGAAGATTAATACACATATGCATGCGCTCGAACCAATTTTCGAAGCACTTATTCCACTCGTTTGCTGGCAGATCCAAAACGGCATTTTTCAATGCGTCAACTGCTTCTTCTGGTGACTGGAACCTTTGACCCCGCAGTCTGTTTTTAATTTCCGGGAAAGTAAAGAAATCGTTAGGACTTAGATCGGGACTATATGGAGGATGGTCCAACAATTCCACGTTTTCTTCCGTTAAATACTGCCTTGTTTTTTTGGGCTGTGTGCGAGCTTGCATTGTCTTGGTGGAGGATGATTCTTCTTTCGGTGTTGATTTTTGAAGCTCGGTGATGACTTTTGGCAAACAAATGGTGGTATACCAATCCGCAGTACCAGTTCTTTGCTCATTAAGAGGAATTGTTGCAATATGACCCGCTTTTGAGATAAATGTCGTGAACACCCAAACAGCCGACTGTCGTTTATTTTCTGGTTCATAACAGTAAATCCACAATTCATCACCACTAACAATGCTGTACACATTTTTTGAGTTTCCGGAATTGAAACAGTCAAGCGTTTTAGACACCAATTAACCCTGGCTGCTTTCTGCTCTTCAGTGAACAGGTGGGGTATCCAACGAGGAACTAATTTTCTTACTCCTAATTCTTCATGTAAAATTGTTTGAATTGAGGCCTTTGAGATCTTCAAGGACGCCTCAATCTCGCGATATGTCACATGTCTATCTTCAATAATGAGTTTGTGCACAGCATCGACGTTTTCCTGGGTGACTGCCGTTTTTGGTGCACCCGCCCTGGGATCGTCGCTAAGACTCACCCGTCCACGTTTGAATTCTCAATATCAACAGGAAATTGTCGACTGATGTGGTGCTTCGTTGCCGAAAACAGACAGTAACTCAGCAAGGCATTCTTGTTGCGATAATTGTCTTTGAAAGTTGTAATAAATTATGGCGCGAAAATGTTCTCGGTTGAGTTCCATTTTTCTAATGACCTGGTGACACTTAAAAATTCACTGTAGTGAAAACACTACACGTATTGTTGTGGAACTTTGAATTTAAGTTTACGAAAGAGTGAGGTTAAGATTCAGTACTGACGTTCGATCCGCGCGGCCTACTATGTTTCTATATGCAAAACTTAAACGACATTCCTCGTATTCAATGCGCCCATCACCGTGGAAAATACAAGCTTGAAGCAAATCCGCCATCATCCACTGTTCACATAAAAATGGTGAGGGATCAAGTATCAATCTTTGACGAATCCTAACCAATCAGGCAACGCTGTGCGCGAATACGATCCTGCGTGTTCCTGTCAGCCTCGAAAACTTTCGAGCGTCTGCGTAACAGGACTCCACAGGATAATGGTATCGAGAATTAGTGGAAAAGCGATGCGGGGGAATCGGGAAAGCGCTCATCTTAATTTCCCGACACGTCCAGCAAGGTCGCGTGTCCTTCCTTGAGGATTATGCATATTTCCATGGAATGCGAAACAGAAATAACATGTTATGCTGAAGGTCGTCAATAGAGGACGCGGAGGGAGATATAAGGGATAAATTGGCTATTGTCCACCTAGATAAATCGCATTTACAACGATCGTGCAGTTTATCCTCGATTTTTAGATCACGGGTTGGACATTTTTTATTCCGAAACAGCCACGTAGGCACAAGAATAAATACCGCGGCTGTTATAAGGAGCCGTAAGACGCTTTGTAATCAGATTTCTCAAATTCCTGCGGTTAGTAGAACTCAAAAAAGTGGGTGTTCATGTCACGTCAAGTCCTCGGTGATCTAAACTCCGACCAGTCGAAAGCGGCTCCTTGATAGGCTCGGCCATCCATCGAAACCGGTTGACAGAGATCGGGGAATTCCTGCAGGTAGCGTGCTGTCACCAGCAAAGTTGCGGATCGTA